TTTTTTTTTTTTTTTTTTTTTTTTTTTATTCAAGGCTCAAAAACCTTCAGAACTTGGTTCGAGTTAATGACCCGAATTTACGGCAAGTTTTTCAAACCTGAAAATTATAACTTTTTTTTTTTTTTTGTACGAATAAAATATAAGATAATTAAAAAGTTGTGGTTATTTGTAAAAAATAAATAAATAATAAAAAGTGTAAAAAACGTGATGCACTGTGATTGTTTTGTTAAAGTATATAAAAATGACTCATGAATTAATAAAAAAAAAAAAAATTTTTAATTCAATCTTCCGACTGATTGTTTAACCAGGGCAGCCATTACAACTGTTGCCTATACCACGGACATTAAATTTTATTTTTCATTTGTTTTAAATTATTTTAAATAACAAATGAAAATCGGAATCGGATTAAGATAATCTTTTTATTGAATATTCACAGGGTTAAAAAAGTAAATGAAAAACGTAATTGAAAATAATTTAGAAGCGAATTTGAAAAATCGTTATGATATACCGATTGACTATTAGACTTTTAAGATGCTCCACTTTTTCGCGCATGCGCAAATAATAATTTCGAATTTCGGATGGTGTTATGAGTTGTGAACATGTTGACAGTATTTTTCGCCCGAAAAAATATCGGATGTCTTAAATAATTGTTTTTTAGTTTGTATCGTTTGAAAATGGCCAACGGTTTGAATAAGCATCACATACTCGAGGCGATTGACAAACTCCGGTCGAGAAAATCGAGGCCCGACGCTTTTAGAATCGTTTCTTACGTCTCGAAAAAGTACGAATTTCCTAAAAATGCAATAATTGAATATTTGGAAGCGCTTTCCAAAGACGGTACAGTTTTAAAAGTTGAATTTAAAGGAAATTACAGCTACAGAAATGCTGCGAATCATCGAAATGCTGCCGCAAAAACTGTTTCGCCCACAACTCAAGAAGAAAGTTCATCCATTTATGAGTCCATAAGTGACTTAGTTGCTGGTGCATTAGCACAATTAATTGTCGAAGAACCTGATTATTTAGACGTTGGAATTCCAATGCAAGAGTTATACGAACATTTAGATACAAAACATAGGAAAGCCATAACTAAAACTTGTTTTAAAGAAATCTTACAGAAAGAAGTTAAAAATGGGAATTTGGTCAAATTTGAAAATGGAAATTATTGTTTAGGATATCCTACAGGTGATCAAAACTCATTGTCATCGACTCTCTCAGAAGTGACACAAAATTCAATTGAAAAAGTTAAAGAAAAGTCAAAAAGCCCTATTCGAAAGTATTCATCCCTATCCAGGCATTCATCTCCAAGTTCTAGCAAATTGAGCAGCACAAGTTCATCAGCATTATCAGATAAGCATTCATCATCTGGGAATAAATCAACGAGTAGAACTTATTCGAAATCATCTAGAAGATCATCAAAATTAGGTAATCAATCAATAGATAATGATAAAAGTGAAGTGTCACCCAGTAGAGAAACAAGCAGAAGAAAAAGATTTCAAAAAATTGTTTTCGATCCTTCGGATAATCCAAAACCTAAAAAACTTAAAGAAAAAAGACAGGGAGCTGTTTTGTCGCCAGGAAAAGTCAGAGGGATTTATAAAAAACATTTGAAAATGTCAACACCAACTGAAGGTAAAACTAACTATTTTCTTTTTTAACTTTTTTTAATTTTTGATTTTGTCGAGAGTAAAGTTACAATATGACAAAATTCAAATCAATATCATTTTATCGAATAATAATAATAAAAACATATATATTTTAACATAATTTTAATCAAATCAATTGATAATTATAGTTTAAAGGTAACAAATAATAAATTTTTAACCTATTGAGGTTAAGTTAATTTCTTTGACCTGAAATTTTTACTTTAAAAAATTTTTTTTTTAATAAAATTCATTTTACTTTTATTAAACATATGATATCAACTTTCAAACTCAAGCGCCATCATTATTAACATAATAATAATAATAATGATGAATACAACATTTTTTTAATTGAAAAAAAAAGTAATTTTGAATAAAATGAGAGATTTATTAAATAATTATTTAAAATTTAAAAAAAAAAAAAAATTAAAATTTATTTATAATTATTAACTTATGTGTGTGGGTTTTGGTAGGATTTTTCATGTACAGTAAAAAAAAGTTTTTTCAACTTTAATTTTTTTTTTTTATTAATAAATAAATATATATTATCATTATCAGTATATACAGTAAATATATAAAAATTTAAATAAATTTAAATAGTAAAAAAAAAAAAAAAAAAAAAAATAAGGTCAAGCGACGTTAAAAATATTTAAAAATTTTTAAGTATAAAAAAATTCTATAATTTATTTTTATTGACAATTTTATTAAAAAAAAAAGGAAATTTTATACATCATTATCATTATTATTATTATTAATACGCGTTTAAATATTTAAATATAATTATTCGTTTGTATTTTAAGGTAAAAAAAAAAAATTTAATTAATGAACCTGAAGATTTATAATTTAAATCTGATGATACGCCATTTTTTTTTTTTTTTATACATATATCGATTCGTAATTTTCAAAATTTATTTATTTTTTAAATAGTTTTAATTCGGATTTGAGCGCTTTTTTTTTTTTTAAAATTAAATTTAATTTTAATCGATTATTAAAGTTTGTTTGTTTGTTGTTTGTTTGTTTATTAATAAAATTTAAAAATTGCATGTTGTTGTTATTAGTCAAAGAAAAATGGTATTAAAGAAAAAATTGAGTTTATTATTATTATTATTATTAGTATTATTACCGGAGAATTATTATTATTATTATTTAATTGATTTTTATAATAATAATAATTTTTACCGGGTTTTATTTATTTATTTATTTATTTTTTTTTTTTGATAGTTTTCAATCGGCGAGAAAAAAGTTTTTTTATTTAAAAATATTATCGCGAGTTTTTTTTTTCTCTCTCGATGATTTAAGAGTCGATGACGTTTGTTTTTTTTCGCCGTAAAAAGGATTTAAAATTTAAAAAAAATTTTTTCGCTTATGTTTCGCTTATGCGTTTGACAAATCATTTAAAACTTGGCTCCGAATCGAAGGATTTTAATATCACGTGACCGTTACGGGGGAAAAAAAAAAAAATTTGAAATTTCGTTCGAAAAAAAAGTCGTTATTTTTTTTTTTTTTTTTTCATTTTAAATATCGATTCAGTTGAGTTGTGAATTTCGTAGGAGAAAGTTTTAATGTTTTGTATTATTTTTGTTTGTTCGTTTGTTTGTTTGTTTGTTTGTTTGTTATTTAAAATCGTTTCGGGTTTGTTTTAGGTAAAATATCGGGGAAAAAAATAACTCCGTCCACGTCGAAACAACACACGACTCGAAGTTCAACGGCTGAATTAAAATTACAACAAACGACATCAACAACAACAACAACAATCGATATAAAAGGAGAATCAGTAGTACAGGAAGAGGAAGAAGAGGAAGAAGAAGAAGAAGAAGAAGAAAGCGAAGAATGTGAAATTTCCGAAGGGGTTAATTTATGTAAAATATGTTCTTTTAACATAGATTTTAAATCAAGTAGAAATCTCGATAGGTGGACATCTTGTCATTTTTGCGGTAAAAAAGCTCACGTGACTTGCATACAAGACACGGAACAATGGACGAGATTTAAATTGTCTAAATGGCAATGCAGAGATTGTAAAAATTGTTCAACATGTAAAAATAAATTCAGCGACGGGGTAATTATATTTATTATCATTATTATTGATAGATATTCTTTTGATTCGAATGGTTGGTTGTTGTGTGAAAATCAAGGGTTTGTCTTACTCAAGACAACCGTTGGTGTCTTTTTTTGTTTTTCTTTGTCATAGAACGTTTTATATTGATTAGAAACCTTAATTTACAGGATCTCATCGTGTGCGGTTTGTGTGACGATGCCTATCATTTAACTTGTGCAAACGTTAAAAAATCAAAATCGAATCAAAAATGGTTTTGCAATAAATGTTCAAGAGTGTTCAGCGATGGTGTAAAATACGAGAAAGAAGATTTTGGAGAGGGTAAAGATCAAAATAAAATTTATTTATTTATTTTATAAAATCCTTGTTTTGTATTTTACGGTTTCGATTTATAACATTTGTTGCGCAGGATCTCAAGAAGTGACGACTTCAAACGACTCCTCGCAAAGAACGAGTCCTGAACCTGAGGGAACGATAAAAATCGAAGAAGAAGAAGAAAAAAAAGAGGAAATCAAACCGGAAACGAATGTGATAAACGAAGAGGAAAATGGAGAAGGAATAGACGAAACGATACCGGATTGTACGAATTGGTCGTGCGAAGAAGTTTATTCGTATTTTCTCAAATATATACTTCCGGAAGAAGCCAACGTATTTCGGGATCAAGTAAATGACGTCCATGTTTTTTTTGTTTCTCATTTCCCACGAATTTATTTATTTATTTATATATGAATTTATTTTTTGTAGGAAATCGACGGAAGGGTTTTGTTATTGTTAACACGTTACGACGTATTGAGCGATTTTAAATTGAAATTAGGACCCGCATTGAAAATTTATGCTCAAGTGAAAAAATTACAAGTTAGAAAAAGCGATCCATATTTATTTTGGCCTTAAATCGGTTTTAAAAAATGTCAATCTCAAACGGAATCAATTTCTTCTTCTTTTTCTTGTAAATATCACGAAACGTATTCTGAATTTTTTTTTTATTATTATTATTATTTAAATTTAATATACATACATATAAAAAAAAAAAAAAAAAAAATTTAATTTAAAAATAAAAATTTATATTAATAAACATTTAAATAAATAAATAAATAAATAAAAAGTGACTAGATATCATTAATAAATAAATTAATTAATTAATTAAATTAAATAAATTACACAAATAATATCACGTTTGAAAAACACTTGATGATAATAATAATAATTTATAAATATTATTACAATTGACAAAATAAATTGAGTGTGTGTTATTGACAACACCGAGTTATTATTATTATTATTATTATTATTATTATTAATATTTATGTAAAATTTATTATTTAAATCTAATTAAAATACGAATATTAATTAATAAATAATAATAATAATAATAATATCGTCTACTGTTCGATTAATTTATAGATAAATTTTTTTGTAGACGATATTAATTTTTAACTACATAATTAGTATTATAATCGTACAATAAATAAATAAATAAATAAATAATATATATATAAATAGGGATCGAAAATTTCATAAAAAGCTGTACATAATTTAATAATTAATAATAATTAATAAATGTAATAAAATCATGCAACGATATATATCGTGTGTGTGTGTGTGTGTTTGTGCTCAATCATTAATAAATTATTTAAAGCAAATGTTTTTTTTTTTTTTTCGATAAAAATTAAATTTAAATATTTGTATTTATTATTATTATTATTATTTTTTTTTTTATTTACATTTTTTATGCGTATTTATTTTTACATAAAAAATTAATACGAAAATGAATTCATTAATTCGGAATATTTTATATCAATTTAAAATTACATTTCTGGATAATTTTCATATGGTGGAGGAGATTTATATTTTCCATTATCGTGATAACCCAAATTCACATCGTTAAAATTAGATTTATGTGGCGGTGGTGGGGGAGGAGGTGGAGGCGGGGGATAAGGTTGACGGTTAAATTTAGAACGATAATAATAACCAGGTTGCAAATGTTTTTCTATGAGTAAATCGATTTGATCGTCAATGTCGACTTTGAGAAAAGGTTCCGTTTCATCGTATCTATCAATTTTAGATTTATTTAAATCTCCCGTAGAATTATCTGGATTCGATTTCACGAAAGCTTTCGATTCGAAATAATGACCGAGAAGAAAACAAACGAGTACGAAAAGGAAAACTCCACCGAATAGGTAAATATCTCCTACAACGACTTTACCATTGCGAAATTCAAATTTCGAATCGAGACCGTAAAATCTTGGACATTTAAAATGTATGTGTGAATATTCAGTAATGGCTTCTTTATTTTTTATAGGTAAATTTCTGAAATGTATTTCAGGTAGTTTTTGTTTAGCATCGAGAAGAGCTTCTAATGTTTTTTCAAATTGTTTACGAAGACCAGGATCTGTGAGAACATCATCTGGATCTGGCTCCCCTAAAAAAAAAAAAAAATTTTTTTTTTTTTTTTAAATGATTGATTTAATATGTTTAGGTAGAAAAACATTTTTTTAATTCGAAATAAACATACCTGGATGTATCAGTACATCAGATTCTTCAATAACAAGTGAATAACTAACTTGAGCCAAAGGTTTATCGCCAGAAGTACATAAAGTCCTTGCCGTTTCTAATGCAGCACAACCGAAATTGCATGGAGAAATTTCTGCTGGATTATTGTAACTTTCCGAGCATGCTTAAAAAAATTTAATAAATTTTTTTACATTTTTTACATTTAATTAACCATTTTTAATTTTAATGTAAATGATTTATTTATTTAAGATAATCATCGACTTGGTAAATCATTTTTAAAAAGAAAGAGAAAAAAAATTGTTGCTTATACTTTAATCAATCAATACTTACAAAGATGGCAACCGTATTTAGCATTTGTAAAATTTTTTACTGTATTTTTTTCATGTGAAGTATGAAGTATCAGTAAATAAAACCTGCAACCTCTTTGACAAGCTTCTATTTTTTGCAACTGAAATGACATTGATAAAAATTTTTAATTGTCGAGTAAAATAAACTAAATAAAAAAAAACTAATTTTTATTATGGGTTAAACATAAAATAAAAATAAAATTACATCATAATTTTAAAATAAAATTGTTTTGAATGGTTTTAAATGTGATATCATAAGTACAATTTTTACAATAAACTATGAAAAAGTTGTTTTAAATGGATATATTATAAATATTATTTCCAAAATATCCAGGTAAAGATCAATAAATCTGCGTGGAGTCAGTTCATTAATGATTACTTATAGTCATGGACAAAAAATTAAATAATTACTTACATCTTTAACAGAATTATTTGTAAAATTTTTTGTACATGCATCGTAACATCCGCATGATTTTTCAGTTGTGATACCCAATGTTAACGAATAACAATGATTTACTATCAATAAAAATAAAATAAAAAAATTTAACATCTTTACCCCCTTTGAACCTTTATTATTGATGTTTTGGTCAGAGCCTTCCAGTAGGGATGAATTTTCGCGGGGAAGTTTTTGGGCCTTTTTTGAATTTTAAAAATATTTAACGGATTTTTATTGGTTGATAAAATTTTATATTCACAACAAACTGCCTACGTAAAATGATAAGATTTTATGTGAGTTTAAATCGTGTGAATGTAAATCTCAATTAACTTTCCTTTTGTTATAAACTTTTTTTTTTTTTTTTTTAAACAAAATGAACGTTATAAAAATTGATAATTTTTCCGATATTTATAAATATTACGAAGAAAAGTTAAATGAATTTTTAAGAAGTTATTTAGGTGAAACCGGTAAGAAACAATATTATTAAATACAATGCGTCGTTGAGACGATGGTAAAATATCATACGGACGAGAAGTGTTTAAAAGTTTTTTTTTTTTTTTTTTTTTTTTAGACCCACGGACTTCTCAATGGCTTTTTACAAAATCTCCCATTCCTCTATTGTCAGTTTTTTTTTTATATTATGCAATTGCATTTTTCGGACCGAAATTCATGAAATATCGTAAGCCCTTAGAAATGAGATTGATTTTAATGATTTACAATGTTGGCCAAATATGGCTGTCTTCATTCATAATGAAAGAGGTTTACTTTTTTT